TATATATATATATATATATATATATATATATATATAGTAGAAAAATGTGCCAAACTATTGGTAGCACCAGGTTCCCAATGTTCTTCTGTAACTTTGTGCGGAATGAAAGAAAAAATGCGATCAAATTCGTTGAAAGTTCGGTGATTGTCTTCATTAGGTCACGGTCGGTGTTTTTGAACGAAGCAACGACATGTTCCACTTATAGAAAAATGCGATCAAATTCGTTGAAAGTTCGGTGATTGTCTTCATTAGGTCACGGTCGGTGTTTTTGAACGAAGCAACGTCTGACATGTTCCATGAGATTTGGTGGCCCACCATTTATTCCTGCGTTTTGGCTAATTAAACCCTTTTCATTCCCTCCGCTTCACAATTGTCGCACAATTCCAAAAGCGGTCGTGGATCCAGATTGACCGTACTGACTGACCGGATCTTGTGAGAGCTCATTACCTAGATCGCTTTGTGGTTTCAGTCTTGCGATGATCCGCTAGTAAGGGGTCTGTTCTTGCCGCGTTTCGTTCTACCTACGGGACACAACAAAAAAAATTGTCGCAGGGTGGAGAGGTCAGCCTGCTGTTGAGCACAACAACAGCATATACCAGGAAATTGTTGAGTGTCTCAGTGAATAGTGGTCAGGCAAAAAGGTGTCCCAAAACCAGGAACGGACTTATCTTTGTTTGATGCATCCTCAATTTTAGACAAGAACAGCACAAAGTTTGCGTGGCACACCATGCACAAGTGTCATTTCTAATCACCGAGTGTTGTCTCTAACATTCCTTGTTCCAAAGCCTCCGGTTCTGGAGTGTCAATTTTTCTCCTGTATTACTCATTGCACAGTTTGACCAACAGAAATCGGAGCATTTGTCCTGAAGTTTACCACGATTAGTTCTCCAGTAGTCACTTCAAGTAACGTGAAGTTGGTAAATATTGACGAGGCGTCTAACTGACTCTCAGCTGACTCTCGTTTATGATGTTCTTCGACTGCTTCATATATTGTTTGTGTGATATTCTGGACATTGTAGTTTGCTGACGGAGCACTAGTCACAAGGTTGCCCACTACTCTGACAGTCCACAACAGGTTTGCTCGTCTTCTGGCTCATCATTTAGACGTCAACGGTATTCGAACACCAAACTGTACACAACTGGTGAAATACATTTAATTGCGAATGAAATCAGTTTGACTCTTCGGTAGTACAACGCCCGGTTGTCAAGTTCTACTTATTGAGTGTCGCACACTGAAAACGTGCCGGCGGAATTTAACCATCCCCGGTTGACACTGTGTAGAAGCCTATAACCAACGTAGTCTTCTTATTGCCTCGGACTTTCAACTCGCTTTTACGCAAGCCGAGCCGGTCATCCTAACAGCGCCATCACCTTGGCTCCTGGCCAGATCGTAACTGAATAACTTATTTGTGTTCATTTTAGGTGTTCTGAGGATTGATTACTTCTCAGAGAACTGCGCCTACCTGAAGAGTTAGGATTCAGTTGAATCTACGGCTAACACTGACCTGGATTACAACTATGTGCATTTCGCTGATTGCGTGCGATTTGGCGTTCAAGCAGAGCCCAAAGTTGGAGCAGACCTGATGGTTGTGCTTACTTGGAAAACCTCAGTAGTGGACTATCGACAAGTTTTCAGAAACGTTGAGCTGGTAGCTGACGTAGCCTAGATGGTTTCTGGTTTGTTCGCTGAGCTGGGTAGTTTGATTGCAAACGTTTCATCATCAATCACCGGACTGACATCATCAGTGATAGGAAGATTCGTGGACCGTGGCGATGGGCCAATAGTTGTGCCGAAGAGTGCTGTTTTCCATGCCCAATTCAGAGTGGTGTAAACAGAAAGGTGGCCAACCCTTGACTTGGCAGAGGAGTATGAAGGAGGTCACGAAGCGCTTAAGTGCTGTCGGCTAGGGACCGCGTGATCCTCAATGTGCCTGGTCCAAGACACTACAAGATGTGGCTACCAACCGATGTCAGTGGGGTTATTGTCATCAGTTTCTATGCAGATCGCCTGAGTGAGTGTCTGGAGGTATTGGCACCTCGGAATGATTGTGGTAAGCTAGCACTAAGTTCCCTCCCCGTCCACCTTTACTCTCTTCTTTACAATCAGGCTTTCAAATAAATCATGGTTGTACGGCAGTGAAGCATCGGTGTTGAACACTGATGTCATGCTGTCGATGATGATGATGGTGATGATGACAATGATGATATTGAGTTGTGCACGAACACTTGAACAGTTTGCTCCATTAGGGAAAAAGTAGCTGGTCGGTTCACTGACAGTTCCACTAAAGGTCAAGTAATCAGACAAACTTCGGAGAAACGGGTTGAACGGGGCACAGCTAAAACAATCGTACCGTCAGTTTATCTGTATGACTTTATTCTGTAAACACGCAACATTAGCTGGGGAAATTTAAACGAGCTACGTTGTTTGTTTACTGAACCTCAATGATCCAACATATCGCTTAATGCTTAGCCAGGATCTGGAAGCATCTTGACTGTTGTTGATATTCGCGGTAAGATTCTTCGCGCAGTCGAATGTGTTTTTGGGTCATGTTTGGGTTTAGCAAATAGTCTTCACATGATTTTCCTGAGACCATATCGTTATCGCATAAAGTGGCAATAGTGGCAAATGATTTGCTTCCATTAAATTTGAGAAACACACGCACCATCTCACCACAATTCTTATAAACCGAGCAAGAACCAAGCCAAGATTCGATTCCTAGGCTGTGCGAAATGAACTGAATATGGTTACCTATCAGCAGTTTTTTTCTTAATTCGAATCCTTTGTATTACTAGATGAGATCCGAACGGGAGTCTACCGTGGGCTATTCCATCCGGACCAGTTGATCACCAGCATAGAAGATGCCTCGAATAACTATGCGCGTGGATTTTACAGTGTTGGCCGTCGTGTTGTCAAACGTTACATGTCACAAGTTCGGCGTGCCACAGAAGCCTGTGATATGTTCCAAGGATTTTTTGTCATCAACAGTTTCGGTGGAGGTACCGGTTCCGGGTTCACTTCTCTGGCACTGAACCATTTGGATACGGAATTTGCGAAACGCTCAAAGATTCAAGTTGGTATCTATCCAGGACCGCGGCTCTCAACAGGGATTGTGGAGCCTTACAATTCTGTCCTGACTTTTAATTCCTCAATGGAGCAGTCCGAACTGAGTATTCTATTGGATAACGAATCTCTGTACGACCTCTGTGACACTGGCCTTGGAGTGCCACGACCAACTTACACCGATGTGAACAGAATTGTTGCAATCATATTCAGTTGCATGACAGTTTCGTTACGTTTCGAGTCATCTTTGAATGCTGACCTGACACAACTCGAAACCAATTTGGTCCCATATCCTCGGATTCACTTTCCGATTGTCAGTCATGCACCCATAACATCCTCAGAACGTTCTGAACATGAGGTGTTCAATACCAGCGACCTAACTCGTCTATTGTTCGAACCGACGAATCAAATGCTCAATGTTGACTTGTCACAAGGTCGGATCATGAGTTGCTGCATCCAGTATCGTGGTGACATAGCTATACAAGATGTGGCGAAAGCTGTTATGGACATGAAATGCAGACAAACCCTCCGATTTGTAGATTGGTGTCCAACTGGATTCAAGCTTGGCGTTGCGAGTCAACCGCCAACAATCCCCTCCTATTCGCCAATGGCTAAAACCACACGTTCGGCAACTCTGCTGATGAACACCTCTGCCGTGAATCAAGCCATTCAAAAGGTGGATCGAAAATTTGATATGCTTTTTCACAAGCGTGCATTTGTGCACTGGTATGTTTCAGAAGGCATGGAAGAAGGAGAGTTTCCCGAAGCCCGGGAAGCATTGTCCATACTGGAACAAGACTATCTCGGTGTAACACAAGAACTAAGTCAAAAAGAACCGCATTCCAATCCTAGGACGATGCATATCAGTACTCAGGAAGAACTGGAGCAACCAGAAGATATGATGTCAAACAGCGAACGAGGGAGGCAGACATCTAGCAATCATGCGATTCGGTGGAGCGATGTAGCACGCGATGAGGAATCCAGTTATGTTCGATCACGCAGTGCCACTCCAACGTCTTCCTCGTCCTACTCATCGTCACAGCCGGCCTCCTTGCATAATGCCTATAACATGGATAGTCTGGATCCCATAGACCATTATGTGCAATAATTTCGTACTCAAAACTCATTCATTCATTCATTTTTCCGGGCCGAACATCTCCATTCATTATCGTCTATCGTGTTTTGTTACTGACCGATGTGTCAGTAGTTAGGAACAATTACCCATTTTCGGTTTGGCCTTGAGTGCATTCCGTCCACCACTTGGAAAGAACAGCTTTCCGTTCAGTAGTAAAATACCTTGCTTTGAAAGTATATGCCTTCTGTTTCCACCTGCATTAGAAGGTAGAAATGAAAGTGGGAAGCTGTGACATTCGTACGTTCTCCGTCCACGAAGCACATGAAGAGAGCATTATTGACAAGCGAGAGGTTCAGCTGGGCTCCAGGTGAGTCTCTCGGAAAAATCCAAACTAGTTTGCAAATGAGTGTATATTCGATTCGCTAATTTCGTGCAATTTGGCTTCAAGTAGAACATAAGGTTGACGGAAACCCGGGGACTGCGTCTGCCTGATGGGCCCCAAAAAGGGCGAAACCGGTCGTGGGCTGTCAACGGATTTTCAGCAACCTTATGAGTAGTACATTACTCCAAACGAAATTTTAAAACTGACAATGTCATATACGATTCCACAATTGATTTCTTTCTACGCCTAATTGAACTAGGAGTGACGGCAACTGGAAGAAGGAATAGGATGCAGGATTGAAAATATTTTTCATCAATGGGGATCTCGTTTTCTTGGTAAAACCAATCTATGCTGAAAAGCTGAGATGCACCATGTAGCTTTTTCACATGTGGACACCGTGACCGAAGGATGTGTGGAGATAACCTCATCTAACTGCGAGCTTATCGCACTGCTGATCAGCCGCTCTTGGTCGAACGGTTAAAGGTTTAAACTACGAAGTCGCGGGTTCGAGGCTCATCGGAGTTTCGTGAGATGCGCACTGTTGATGATTCCCAATAAGGAAGAAACAGCTGTACAGTGGTTCTCGGCATTTCAGCATAGATTGGCTTCACTTGCAGGCTGAGATCTTCATTCGACTTTCCAAAATCTCTAGAAGAAATCATCGTTTCTTTTTTCATTCCATTCAGCGCACCGGCTATGGTCTAGTCACCAGAGAATTTGGAAGATTTACTCCTGATTAGTCAGGATGTTAGTTTATTCCGACGGATGTAATCTCGCTGCACTATACTTAACTCATCGTACATGAACCCTTCATATTATAACAACAGATGGCACATTCCAACAGTAAAATGGTCCACAAGATTCCCACTTGTATTTCACTGCATGTGTTCTTTCAACGCCAACCGACTGACTGTTAATAACTAACTAACGGAAGGCAAAACATCACTGGATTCATGTTTGCCAACAGAGTAAAAAAAATTGAGATGTTAGCGTACATTCATCATCATCACCGACAGCATAACAGCATTATTCGAACACTGATGCTCCCCTGCCATACTAAGTGTGGAATACATGGTTATACATGGGCTGGAACACAGCCAGGTAGTCCATACATAGACGGGTGATATTTCGGGTCCGTGGTCAAAGCGTTTGGCCCGAAACCTTGACCGCGAGGTGGGAAATCTCAGTGGATCTACTTTTGTGAAGAATAATTCGCCACAAGTGCTACAGATCTCAACCTGGAGGACCACGAGGCTGTGTTGATCGGACTTCTATCTATTGAGTATCGTACAGGCATCCCTCTTTAGCTCAGTGGGGCGATGAGGCACAAAAACCATCACACCATGCCAAGGTCCAGTCTCTTCTTAACGGGCAAAGTACATTAGTGTATAATAAGGGACTGTTAGGGGACGGTATCTCCGAACAATTCCTAAATGAATTCGGTGGGATCAGAGGTGAGTATTCATTTATGCCATCTCATATCACAACTAGTTAGTCCAAGACGAGTTGTTAGGAGATGTATTTACCATCCTGTAGATCCTCACTTTGTTTCGGGTACCGCTGCTCAGATCGTACATCTCTATCAACGTGATGGATTTGCATTTTGAAAGAATCAATCGCTTATTGGAACAGGAGCATTCATTAGTTGTATCCATGGTAAATTGCACTGGGATCCTGCGATCAGGTTCGAGCTAATGAGATTCTCATTTAACTGATAGAGTAGAGCTCCCGGTTTATCCACTGCTAAGTAGTAATGAGACATCACCGTAAGCAATCTGACGATGAATCTTTGATCGGATGAATGACAAATGATAATGACGCACAGTGGACCTTCTTCGGAACTTTCCTAAATTCATGTTAGATTTTTTCACTCATTTGCTGCAAGCTATATGAGTTTGAGGTCAACACATCAAGTGAAGACGAAATCTTCAGTTTTAGGCATTCCTACCTGTCCGACCACTAGTAGCACAGTTCAGTCGGAAATTCTGAACCTCGAACTAAAAGCGTAACCTGAGAACTTTCTGCCACGAACATACTGATCTTAACAATGGATGAATGAGACGCATTTGGCCTTCGGAGCCATATTTCATAGTTTCAAACTTTTCAAGGTAACTTTCATCAGCTGTTTGTGTAGAGGTCTGTAGGATATAGCCTGAGAGGTACAGATCGCTCACGTGGGCATACTTTGCAGTAAAAAATGGACAAGTATGTAACCCACAGCACCCCTTACAGACCGATTTCGAAAAGCACCAACGTTCAAAGAATTTCAGACAAACGTGTGCCGGAGGATAGAAACTGTTTAAATGCGATCCTCCCGTCTCGTCACAAATTAACGTAGGGATACAGCATGCGATGACATTACATTGGCTGAATAGCTAGACGATTGAACCCTGCAAAACGCTGATCTTGTTTTGCTCTGCCATACTTTCCACAAATTCCTTGGGTGAAAGTCATGTTTCGTAGACTTTTTTGTGTTTACAAACATACGGTCACTTTACTGAAAAATATCTCAACCTCTTGGGAAATGTTGGCGCAAAAGCTCACTGCGCATAAATTTGTCGATTCTAGCTCACCACATCAAAGTGCGAATCCGTGACCAGGTTTACTAGTATATTTTTTCGGACCATTCTTTTTCGTGAACAAAGACTATCAGTTTTCACGGGCGTCAAAATTCGGTAGATTGGAAGTCTAACGATTTGACTTATCGGGCCTTCATGGAATGATTGTGAATGAAGCCTGATAGGTAGATTCGACGGGATAGCTGCCACAGACGTGTCGGAAATACTAGAGTTTGTATTTGTCAAATTGACCGCAATGCGTTGTTCTCTAAGTACACCTTTTCCCCCAAATCAGTTGACAACTTCTATTGCTGATATCATGGTAGCTTGCAGAACTGCATAAACCGCCACTCCATCTCCCAGCCTCCCACTTCTAAGTGTGTGCCAAATGCGATCACTAGATCGGGTCCATCTGATCAATCCAACGTCGAGAGTGAGAGCAGTTGCGCAATTAGGATAATGCCAGGCTATTCTGTAGAACGGCTTTTCAACGCAAGCTCATGGTCTGTACTGAGAATTACATGAGTCAACGATATGCTCCATGAAGCAGAGGCTGGTGCCGAAAAGCGCGGAAGGAAAGTATAAAACTCGGTACAATCAGCAATGAAGTTGGCCGAATCAGTGAGCGGTCATCAGAAGGAAGAGTGGTCATCATCTGGATTCCACTTGACCTCAAGTGGTGGAACTAAATTGTCGGAGCACTCAAGACCCCACAAAAACCAGGGAAAATCTACCAGTGACAACCGAAGCGAATCGACCATCAGTTGAAGCACCCTGAAGTGGAAGATTAAGGAACCTAAACCGATCGTAACTAATTCGAAACACCTCCAACCCATCAATTCAAAATTTGGGCAATTACATTAACCAACAAGAGCCGTTCATTGACGCTCACCACTGATCTAGTGTGATAATCTGAAAAGGTCCTACTGATTGGTGTTCCGTCTGCTTTAAAACCTGACCAATTTGGTGACCTCCTCACTTGGCCTGATGAAGCCTTTGTGTCAAAAGCGAAACGTTGCCCAAATAAAAACTACAGATTGTTTATCAAGCACTTCTGAAACAGTGAGCCATTCGTTTTTCGCATATAATCATAATATATTGCGGCCAGCTGATGAGTAAGTGATAATAAATCGTTAGCCTGAATGTTCCTAAATGAAGTCTTGGTTATCTCCGTTATAGAGAACCAGCTTTTCACCAGAATTACGAGACCTAACGAACCTATTCGGTATGCAGACGACTGTGTAGATCGAAATGGGTATCTGTAATCCTTCGTCAAAATGGGCTGTTATGATAGCAATGCGCCTAAACGTAACGCTGAAATACATATTGACAAGATGGCTTGAAAACAGATTTCTCGATCTACGTAAATCACAGTTGTGAATCATGGTAAGAGAAGAAAATATGGTTGCTTGGTGAAGAATGGAAAAAGAAGACAAGATTACCGAGACAAGCCAGCCGAGTTGGTCCGTCCATAATCCCTACCCTCTACGAGGTTCTATTCATGGGTTCGGCGTCTTGTCCGATGACCAGTTACACCTTGAATTTCAGTCGGACATGTTGAATCTAACCCACGTGATGTTAGTCATGAATTGGAGAAATTTAGGTCTCTGCTGGTCCATGGTTGTCCTGATAGAGGGGTGATTTGATGATCTTAAACCAACGATACTATGTGGAGAACACATGTGCAGATTTGAAGGACCCAAGGGAAAATACCCTTTAACGGATACTTCTGGATTTTTTAGGGGATTGAAGAACATGAACACTGGAGATAGGTTGACATTTGCCTTGAGGTTTCATCACTTTCCAAGGTTAAGTTCCAATATTTCTTACTGTACAATCTATGTTTAACAGTGGCCCGTGGGTTGCAGTTGGGTCCCCGTTTGTTCTCTTGCTTTCAAGCATCTTGTGACAATCCCAGAAATAAGACAATTGAAAATATCCCACCATAGGTTAAAACCCTGCCACTGATACGCAGACAGCATATTTTGTGCAATTGGAAGGAGCCTGAATATGGATCAGTTGCTAAGCTGTTTCGGTCGTGCCTCATCAACTCATACGTTTCACTAAATAAAAGGAGAAAAGTAGGAATCTGACCTTGAAAGTGCGTCTCAGATGTCTATTAAAGCCACCAGTATAATGCAGGGTGAATCGAAAGATCTGGTTAAGACGGTGCAATACTTTTTATGGCTTTGTTTTGTGGAGGCAAAGACAACCTTTTTGGGGAGAGTTCGGAAAAAACTGCCTAATAAATATGTTGCAGAACAGGCTGACAAAAATAACTGGT